GTCACTAGGGCCTGAGTGCCATGATTTCAAATCTGAACCTATTATGTTTTCATGAATATATGTGAGTTCTTGATCCTATCTTGCAAGTCTATAGTCACCTACTATGGCCCAGTTCTTTTCAGCTTTTGATTCTTCAAAATCTGATTCTGGAAAACTTCCCACAAAATCAGCTTCCCACATAATCGGTCATCGAGTTCTTTTCTAGATTGTAATATGAGATTGTCAGATAAGTTCAATGTTCAAATGTCTAGAATGTCCCTGGATTGAAATTGCTTGTTGAATTCGAGGAGGAGACAGAGAGAAGGGGAGAGAGGAGGAGCCGGAGAGAGGGGAAGAGAGGAGACAAAGAGAGCTCACCGGCGACCGGCGAGGCAGGTCGGAGGGGACCATAGAACAGGGCGGGGTCAGGCTGCGTGCGCCGGCGATGCTGCCGTTGACTGGCGTCGCGGTTGGGAGGGTTCGTTTAAAGGGCGGGGTCGGGCGGCGGGAGGGCCTGGTCCAGCGGCGAGACGAGCAGGGTCGGGCAGCCAGCGGCTGTAACCACAGCGGCGCAGGGGATCGAGCGGTTTCAGAAGAGAAAGAGACGAGGTCGTTCGCCCCAGTGGCATTCTCTCTGTAAATATCCCTCCAAATAGGGGTATTGTGTCTAAACGAAACGTTTTCTTTGGTGGAACTTATCAGAATCGCCACAAATCGCCCCTTTTGCTCGATTCTGAGATACACTGCCTATTCTCCTGATTCTTAGATGATTTTGGAGAAGCAAATCCAGTTCTTTTCAGCTTTTGATTTTCCAAGCCTCGATTCTTCATAATCGGACAAAAAGAACTCGGCCTATGCGTTATGATCCGGCAACCCCGAAGTGACAATAATCGGACCACTCCCGGTGATGACCGTAGTTTGAGGAGTTCATGTATTCACTATGTGTTAATGCTTTGGTCCAGTACTCTATTAAAAGGAGGCCTTAATATCCCTTAGTTTCCGCTAGGACCCCGCTGCCACGGGAGGGTAAGACAAAAGATGTCATGCAAGTTCTTTTCCATAAGCACATATGACTATATTCGGAATACATGCCTACATTATATTGATGAATTGGAGCTAGTTCTGTGCCGCCTTAGGTTATGACTGTTACATGATGAACCGCATCCGGCATAATTCTCCATCACTAATCCATTGGCTACGAGTTTTCCATATATTGTTCTCCGTTTGTTTACTTTTCCGTTGCTATTGTTACAATCACTACAAAATACCAAAAACATTACTTTTGTTATCATTACCTTTTGCTACCGTTACCACTACTATCATATTACTTTGCTACTAAATACTTTGTTGCAGATATTAAGTTTCCAGGTGTGGTTGAATTGACAACTCACCTGCTAATACTTGAGAATATTCTTTGGCTCCCCTTGTGTCGAATCAATAAATTTGGGTTGAATACTCTACCCTCGAAAACTGTTGCGATCCCCTATACTTGTGGGTTATGAGGAGGCAAGATCCTACCTATGACGAGGTTGTGCATGCAAGATTTACGAGTTCAGGCCCTTCTTGGAGGAAGTAAAAGCCCTACTTCTCGGTGCCCGGAGGCGATCGACTGGATTGCGTGTGAAGTTATAGGGGGTGCGAACCCTTTTGCCAGTGGAGGGGGTGGCTTATATAGAGTGCGCCAGGACCCCAGCCAGCCCATGTTACAAAGGGGTTCAATGTACATTAAGGTGAGACGTTACTGGTAACGCCAACAATAAAGACATATAAATGATCATTAACGCTACGGAGTGAATGCCTGACCGTTGCCATCCTGAATGACTTTAGATCTTCTATACTCCGAGGGGTTTCTAGTACGGTCGAATGATGATATACCGATCGAATAGAATTGGGTTATCCGAGTGAAATTGTTGGTCGAGTGGGTTGCACTCTGAGGTGATTTCAGTCGGTGGATGCTGCTGCACTTTGAATGCCTTTGACTCTAGGACAGTGTCTTTGGGAGGGGTGTCTAGGTCAGGCCTATTACCCTACCCTAGATACATGCCATCGTCACTCGCCCAGTTGCATCGTGTGGCAACACGGTGACCTCAACATCCTTCATGTTTCAGTGGGGAAGCACAACATCCTCCATGTTTCAATGGGTGATAAAGGTTTACGTCATTCCACAACATCGTTCATGTTGCAATTGGATGACCGAGATTGTCTGTGTTGCGGTTTGCAACCACAATGTCGTCCACATTACAATGGATGACCGCAACATCGTCTTTGTTGCAACCAGAGTGATATTATCCAATGGCTCCATACATGAGATCAAGGATCTGCTCTGCAAAAGACCAACAACACGGACCATATTTGTTACCCTCTTATTTTTCTTTTTCTTTTTTGCGATTGTAAATATTACTAGTATTTACTTATTGGACGGTTGCCCTTATTGAAATCGAGGAATAATCTTTTATTGATCAAGTTGCAGTTCTTTTACTCTCTCTATTTGTTTAGCCCACTGCTGTTGTTCAAAAAAAGAAGAGAGTACCACTGCCAACCGGTCGGTGTGCACTTGCACCAAAAGACTTTGACAAGTCTTGCACCGCGAAGCCGCCATTTTCTATTGACGCAAGTAACCCAGCGGAGGCGACTTGACCTGGCAAAAAATAAGAAAAGGAGCAACTGACTACCAATAGAAGGCGAGCGTGATTGCGTGAGAGCTTCCGAGTTCCGACCGAGAGACAGGGGGCATCGCGAGTGGCTGTCGCCCACTGATTGCACTCGCTGCATTTCCCCCCGTCTTCCTATCCCGCCCCCTCTCCTTCCTCGCTCCACGGACTGAGCTCGAGTCCAGTCGTCGCAATATTCGTTCGTTCGTAGCTCCGCCCCGCGGATGAGTCGGTCTCGCAAGCGGATTTAGTCCGCTCTCCTCCACCAGTCTGCCACGGAGCACATCGCTGCCGCCTTCTCGACTCCACTGCAGATTCCATGCTTTGCGCTCGCGCGAGAATCCATCAGGTACTACCTTTTTATCGAGTCCGTGGCGCAGCCCTTTTGTGTAGATCTCCGCCGTCTCACCTGCATGGAGTACATGTCAACACCGTTGGTTTGAGCTACAGAGTTTCACCACGCGCTGTGTCCCTGGCCGCTGGGAATTGCCACACCCGCTAGACTAAGTTGGGCTCTTGGGGACGTCGTCATCGAACCGTTTCATCTGGAGCTCATGAGTTCCAAACGAGCTTTCGATGGTCAAATTGCAGTTTTACTAGCGAAAAAGTTGTCGCCTGCTACATGTTCGATAGAATTCCCCACCGCAGCCTCCCGCCACGGGCAGGGAGGTGAGAGCAGAGTTGCCTCCAGTCGATGCGGGCTGTCACGTGGACGCGAGATGGCATCGCCGAGATAGTTAATCTTATTCGTCATAGGAGTAGTGTGTAAAAGAATGCTCTCGTCCTGTTCTTCACACTAGTAACTACTACTCCTCTATCTTAAGTCTTAGGCTTATTCGGTTTGCAGGATTTCTAAATCGTAGGAATAGGAAAAGTAAAGGATTGGGATGCCATGCACATTCCAATCCTTTGGAAGCTAGCACAATGCCCGCGCGTTGCTACGAAGCCATAAAAAGCGAGCACTTGGACCACCGGCTTAGGAGATGGTCAAAGGACGTTGGTGTCTTGCCGTTGTTGCACGGTTCACGATTAAAAAGAGAGCAAAAATATAACGAAAGATCTTTCTGCGTTTGATGTATAATTTGAAGAAATTGGATGGTAAGAGAAACTAAAACCAACAGCATGATTCTGAGTTCGAGTCACATCTCTGCATTTGTTACCTGTGTTTTTCACAAGAGTGGTGTCCTCGCATTAAATTAGTAGTGTATTTGTTTATTTGTGCTAGGTGTAACATGTCAGTAAAAGTGCATTTGTTCATTTATGTCTCTTGGAAGGTTGCTAGTCCACTATGTGGGTAGAATGTATTTGTTTATTTGTGTTGTTGGTCTCAAATGTGAACCCACGACCAACTCCAACCTTTATAAGTAGGAAGATATCTACGAGGTCTGACCTAATGCTAAGAATCCTTAGGAATCAGGCCAGTATGGACACAAGCCTTGGATGATGTTGCCTACATATTGTGATGTTCAACTTTACTTTTCTTATGCTGCAGAACTTTTGACACTGGTGGTCCGTTTGGTGGGTAAGTTGTTGTCCCACTCTATAGACCGCCTACTACAAGTATCCCAAAGGTGAGCATTCCCTGATCATGTGAACCACCGGCGTCAAATGTTGCAGTTCAGAAGATAGCTATGCACACTGCAGTTTCCCGAATGTGATAAATTAGCTAGATAATTGAAGCCATATTCCAAACAGTCCATTCATTTGCTAGATTGCATACCGGTTGTGTTTTATGCTCATGCTCGTTCAAAGAGCTTTGCGCTCAACTAGTACAGGCATCAATTGCTTGCTGGTCCTTACATGCTATCATGGGCTTGTTGACTACCCTGCGATGAAAATCACAGATTTTCATTTCTCTAGTCCTGATGACCTTATAAAGGGATGCCGATCGGGTAGTCTATCCAGCCTAGTGTCATTTATGTTATTTATTTATTCATTTTTTTGGATTGTGCTAGGTGCTTCATGTTAGTTTAGAAAAAAGAGATTGATTTGGACTGAATGTTTCTTTGTGTCACTTTTTATCTCTTGAATTGGGTATTACTGTTCTAGAATATGAGCCAAATTCCTCCGTTTTCCTAATTCTGGCGGGTCAAGTTCATTTAGGAATTCCATCTGTTACTACCGTCAATTCTGATCAATGTTAAGATTTCAGTCGACAGAGGGGTATTCTCTGATGCGGCGGTACCTGAATACCTGATATCTTAATGTATCATAAATTATATTCTAGTCTTCGATATGCTGTAAATTGATAAATTCTGTTTAGGTAAATGGAACGAAAGGGCCAAGTTAGAAAGCTACTCTTTATGTACGAGTGCATGAGCTAATTTGGTACCTAGAATTCTTGATGGTTTTTCTATTCTATCATGTAATATGCACTATCTTTGCTGTTCAGCTCAAATGGCCGAGGCAGTACTCATTGCTGTGACGAAGATTGGTTCCATTTTAGCAGATGAAGCCATCATGGCCATTATAGATAAGTTGTCTGAAAAAGTTACTAATCTGAAGGAACTGCCAGTAAAGATTGAGCAAATAAGAAAGCAACTGAATATGATGAGTAATGTTATAAGGAAAATAGGCACGGTATATCTCACAGATGAACTTGTCAAGAGTTGGATTGGGGAGGTCCGCAATGTGGCCTACCATGTTGAAGATGTAATGGATAAATACTCATACCATGCTCTTCAACTTAAGGAAGAAGGTTTCCTCAAGAAATTCTTCATTAAAGCAACACATTATGTCAAGGTTTTCAGTGAAATTGCCAATAATGTAGTTGACGTAGAGAAGGAGATTCAGCTAGTTATACAGATGAAAGATCAGTGGTTGCAGCCCTCCCAGCTTGACGCCAACACACTTGCTGAGATGGAAAGACAGCGGTCCCAAGACGGCTTCCCTGAATTTGTCAAGGATGAAGATCTTGTAGGAATTGAAGACAACAGGATATTGCTGACCAAATGGCTGTACTCCGAAGAGCAGGAAAACACTGTGATAACAGTATCGGGCATGGGTGGGTTGGGAAAATCTACCCTGGTCTCAAATGTTTATGAACGTGAAAAGATCAACTTCTCTGCAAATGCATGGATCGTTGTGTCACAGGTTTACACTGTTGATGCCCTGTTGAGGAAGCTACTATGGAAGATCGGATACACCGAACAACCATCGTCTCAAATGGACGTGCATGACTTGAAAAAGGAAATACAGAAGAGACTTGAAAATAGAAAATACTTGATTGTGCTGGATGATGTCTGGGAGCAAGAGGTATACTTCCAAATACGTGATGCTTTCCAGAATCTGCAAGGAAGTCGGATCATCATTACAACACGGAAGGACCATGTCGCCGGAATCTCTCCTTCCGACCGTCACCTTGAGCTGCAGCCGTTGAGTAATTCTGACGCCTTTGACCTCTTCTGCAGAAGGGCTTTTTACAACCAGAGGGGCCACATGTGCCCCAAGGATTTTGAGATAATTGCTGCCTCTATAGTTGAAAGATGTCATGGCCTGCCTCTAGCAATTGTTACCATTGGTAGCCTGTTGTCCTCCAGACCACGATTAGACATTTGGACACAAAAGTACAATCAGCTTCGAAGTGAGCTGTCAAACAATGATCATGTCCGAGCAATTTTCAATCTGAGTTACCATGACCTTTCAGATGATCTCAGAAACTGCTTCTTGTACTGCAGTCTGTTCCCAGAAGACCACCCCATGCCACGTGACAGCCTTGTGCGGCTGTGGGTTGCAGAAGGCTTTGTGGTGAGTAAAGAAAAGAACACACCAGAGGTGGTCGCTGAGGGCAATCTTATGGAATTGATCCACCGCAATATGCTTGAAGTTGTGGAGACTGATGAGCTTGGTAGGGTTAGCACCTGTAAGATGCATGATATTGTGCGTGAACTGGCTATTTCTGTTGCTAAAGAAGAGAGATTTGCTTCAGCAAATGACCAGCGTGAAATGATACAGATGGATAAGGATGTTCGCCGGCTATCAGCATGTGGATGGAAAGAAAACACTGCATTGACACTTAAACTTCCACGTCTTAGAACTGTAGTGTCACTTGGAGTAATTTCATCCTCCCCTGGCATGTTGTCTTCAATCCTGTCTGAATCTAGCTACCTGAGTGTTCTTGAGCTTCAAGACTCTGAAATCACTGAAGTGCCAGCATCGATAGGGCATCTGTTCAATCTACGTTACATTGGCTTACGACGCACCAAGGTCAAATCACTCCCGGATTCTGTTGAGAATCTTTCTAACCTCCACACTCTGGACATTAAGCAAACCAAAATAGAGAAGCTACCACGGGGAATTGTTAAGATCAGGAAGTTACGGCACCTTTTAGCTGATAGATATGCTGATGAGAAGCAGACAGAGTTCCGTTACTTTATGGGAATGCATGCACCTAAAGAGCTGTCCAACTTGGAAGAACTGCAAACTCTTGAGACTGTGGAATCTAGTAACAACTTGGCTGAGCAGCTGAAGAAACTGATGCAACTAAGCAGTTTGTGGATTGACAACATAAGTGCTGCTGACTGTGCACTTCTGTTTGCTACCCTGTCAGATATGCCACTTCTTTCCAGCTTGCTTCTTTCTGCAAAGGATGAGAATGAGACACTTTGCTTTGAGGCTCTGAAGCCAAAGTCTACAGATCTGCGCAAGTTGATTATCAGATGGCAATGGGCTAAGGGGACACTGAATTGGCCGATATTTCTTGACCATGGAACCCACCTCAAGTATCTTGCTCTAAGCTGGTGCGACCTTGGGGAAGATCCACTGAAGATCCTTGCACCACACCTGCCGAACCTCACATTTCTAAAACTGAACAACATGCATAGTGCAAATACTTTGGTTCTATCTGCAGGTTCCTTCCCCAGTCTGAAGACACTGGTCTTGAAGCACATGCCTGATGTCAGCCAGATGAACATCATTGATGGCGCTCTTCCATGCATTGAAGGTTTGTACATCGTGTCTCTGTTGAAGCTGGATAAGGTCCCCCAAGGCATTGAATCACTTGGCTCCCTGAAGAAGCTCTGGCTGCTGAGCTTGCACAAGGATTTCAGAAGTCAATGGGTCACTAGTGGGATGCATCAGAAGATAATGCATGTTCCAGAGATTCGTGTCTAGATGCAGCAAGTGGGTTCTTTCTGCAGTGTCTTTGTCGGTTCTTTGCTTCTTTCTGCAGTCTCATTCCTGTATGCCGCATCGTATTTTTGATCATTCAAATAAGTTTGTGACTATTGAAATCACCAGTAGCATTTGGCCCGTACTTGTATATTGTAACACCATTTATTCCTCGAAGATTTATGTCCACTGCCTTTCAGAGGCCTCTGTACTGTTTCTATGTTGATCGTGCTCTGTACGTTTGTGTTGTTTAAGTTGCATGCTTTAGTACCAATTTCATGTAACAACATGCATTATTTGTATCGAACATCTTCTGTGATTGATCCTGTCAAACATTTCATTTTATATCTTGTCATCTTTTGATCTCTGCCACTATGTCACCCCATCATCTGATTCGCCAAGAGGTACCATTATATATTTGTCTGTTTTTCTTGGTGTTAAGATCTCTATCTTGGCTTTTTCCTTTTCAGTAGCACTTCTGTGTGTTTTGCAGGTATTTTGGCCCGCCGATTCCATCGAGGCTAAATTAGTAGTGCCATCTTGGTTCGTCTGGTCTGCTCTGTGGTAAAGGAAGAAGGAACGCAAATTACATGCCTTTGAAGAACATGAGCTTTCAGTTCCGGCTAAAGCCCCTGCTTCAGAGGCCAAGAGCCAGAGCTTGGTAGGAGTTCAACAAGGCCGCGCATTGCTAGAGGATACAAGGTGTTAAACGTATAGGTACAGGTGGGTCTGCGCTGGTTCGGTTGTAACTAGAGATAGGTTGTAATCTTTTTCTTATCTCTATCTTAACCCCCCTGTATTCTCTCATGCGGTTGATCCCAACAACCTTTCTTGTATCACAAACCATAATATCAATATATAACATGCGGGTGCCTGTGTATGGGCATTGAGACGCTTCGATACAATTTCACATGATAATCAGAGCCTCCCTCTTCCGCCACATCTAGCCTCGACCACCTTTCTTCCTCCCGCTGAAAACCCTAGCTCCTACCTTCTCATCCACCAAACCGAACCATGTCTACCTCCAGCCAAACTCCATCCATTGCCCTTACCAACACCACATCCGAGCCCCTCACAAGAACCAACTACATCCTATGGAGAGCCCAAGCTCGCTCCTAGATCATGGGTGCCGGGCTATATGGGTATATAGATCAAACCACACCCGAGCCAAACAAAACCATAGTCACCAAGACCTCAGAAGAAAAGGACCAAATCGCTCCTAACCCTGAATACAAACCATGGATTCAAGATCAGCAGATCATAGCCTTCCTCCTTCGTAATATCTCGAAGGAGGTCCTGATCCAAGTCGCCTCCCTAGAAACCTCGCATGCCATATGGTCAGCCCTAGCAAATATGTTCGCTACCCAATCCCGTTCTCGTGTGAACAACTGCCGCCACTCCCTCACCAATGCACAGAAAGGCTCCTTGAGCGCATCCGCATACTTTGGGCAGATGAGAGCACTCTCGGACGAGCTAGCTGCCGCCGGGAACCCCATAACAGAAGCAGATCTTCTTTCTCACATCATTGCAGGGCTCGACATGGACTACTAACCTCTGATCTCGGCGTTGGACGTACGCATCGCTCCCCTCTCGGTGGATGATCTCTTCGGCATGGTCTCCAACTTCGACCAATGCGTTGAGATGTTTCACGGGACAGGGGCAGGGGCTTTCAAGTCCTCGGCTAATGTTGCAACCCAAGGTCGTGGCAACAACAACAACTCCAGCCGCTACCACAACTCCAACAGGAGTGGTGGTGGTGGATCTCGTGGTGGCGGCGGTGGCCCTTACCAGAATGGCGGCAACGGCGGCGGCGGTCACTACAACAACTCCAACGCCGGTGGCGGCGGCTACAACAACTACAACAACGACGGCGGTGGTGGCGGCGGCCACTACCAGAACGCCGGCGGCGGTGGTCACTACCAGAACGGCTGCGGCAACAACAGACACCCCTACTACAACAACAGGGGGCGTCCCTTCCAAGGGTATGAGGATGAAAGCACAAGTGCTCCCTGGGTGGTTTTGGTAATTAATGTCAACATATCTCTTGTTGGACTAACACTTTTACCTAGTATGTTTCAGATAAGTTCAACAATGGAGTGGCATGGACTAGAGATGCTAAGGAAAAAGGGTTGGCTCAAGCTTCAAGATCAAGACTGTACATTTTCTATTTTAGTGATCCAAGATCACACTGAGTCTATAGGAAAAGCCAATACTATCAAGAGGGGATGAGGTGTTGCTTAATGGCTTGCTTGCTCAAAGTGCTTAGTGATATGCTCCAAAACCCTCAACTACCTTCCCACATCCACATATGACCTAAACCAAAAGTCAAACTCGGCCCCACCGATTCTTTCTATCCGGAGCCACCGAGTTCGGTTAACATAGCCACTGCCAGAAACCCTAATCAGTTCGGTCTCACCGATGGGATCTCGGTCTCACCGAGATGGGCTTGCAAACTCTCTGTTACCTGTTGCAATATTTTCGATCCCACCGAGATATGCAATCGGCCCCACTGAGTTTGCTTGGCCAACTCTCTGTTTCGCTTATTACCCAAACGGTCCCACCGAATTTGAGTAATCGGTCAAACCGAGTTTTGGTTTTACCCTAACCCTAGCACATCGGTCCCACCGAGTTGAACTAGTCGGTCCCACCGAAAACCCTAACGGTCACTAGGTTTACTAAATCGGCCCGACCGAGTTTTTCCCTTCGGTCTCACCGAGATTGGTAAATTGAGTGTAACAGTTAGATTTTGTGTGGAGGCTATATATACCCCTCCACCCACTCTTCATTCGTGGAGAGAGCTATCAGAACATACCTACACTTCCAATACACATTTTCTGAGAGAGAACCACCTACACTTGTGTTGAGGTCAAGATATTCCATTCCAACAATATGAATCTTGATCTCTAGCCTTCCCCAAGTTGCTTTCCACTCAAATCTTCTTTCCACCAAATCCAAATCCTGTGAGAGAGAGTTGAGTGTTGGGGAGACTATCATTTGAAGCACAAGAGCAAGGAGTTCATCATCAATACACCATTTGTTACTTCTTGGAGAGTGGTGTCTCCTAGATTGGCTAGGTGTCACTTGGGAGCCTCCAACAAGATTGTGGAGTTGAACCAAGGAGTTTTTAAGGGCAAGGAGATCGCCTACTTCGTGAAGATCTACCGCTAGTGAGGCAAGTCCTTCGTGGGCGACGGCCGTGATGGAATAGACAAGGCTGCTTCTTCGCGGACCCTTCATGGGTGGAGCCCTCCGTGGACTCGCGCAACCGTTACCCTCCGTGGGTTGAAGTCTCCATCAACGTGGATGTACGATAGCACCACCTATCGGAACCACGACAAAAACATCTGTGTCTCCAATTGCGTTTAAATACTCCAAACCCTTCTCCTTACATTCTTGCAAGTTGCATGCTTTACTTTCCGCTGCTCATATACTCATTGCATGCTTGCTTGATATGTATTGTGTTTGTTAAACTTGTTCTTAAACTCTACTTAAACTTAAGAATATTAAAAACTGCAACTTTTGGCACTTAGTGTCTAATCACCCCCCTCTAGACACCTCTTCTCGATCCTTTCAATTGGTATCAGAGCTTTGGTCTCCATTGCCTTGGTTTAAACACCATTGGAGGAAGATGGATGTGTCTACTTTGGGGAGTCTTAGACATAGAGTGCCTATTCTTGATGGAGAGTATTTTCGTGAGTGCAAAAATGAAATGCTTGAGATTTTCAATGAATATCATTTGAACAAGTACGTTACTAGCCCTTGTGCACCTCATGTTGATCTTTTGCACCCTACCCTAGATGAAGATATTGACATGATTCGCAATCTTAGAACTGTTAATCTTATCACTAGAGGCTTGCCTAGAAACTTGATTGGATGTTTGCCGACTCTTAAGTGTGCCTACACCATATGGAAATTTCTTGAGGAACTCTTTCCTAATTACTCCTTGAAAGATCTAGATGAAATCCTCCATAAGTCTATTGCTTTGATTAAGATGAGTTCCAATGATCCCAAATTTGGTGACTGCTTATTTGAGCTTACTAATCTTACAAGTGCCAAAGGAGATGTTGGAGTCATTAGCAATATCATTTCCAGAGCTATTAGAATTCATAAAGATAAATATAGAAATGATCATTTATCTAATGAATTGCCCTCTCTAGGAATTGATCAATCACAAGATGATGTTGAACATGAATACTCGGATGATGATGATGATAGTGACTATGATCTCGATGATGCAATGAGACACTTTGGTCTTATGGCAAATCTTCGCAGCTACATGGCTGGAGGAAAGGAATGGGTCCTTGATAGTGGATGTACTGATCATATGAGCGGAGATAAAGACATGTTCCGTGAGCTTGCTGAAAATGACGGCCCTCGAAAGTATGTCACTTTTGGTGATAATTCAAAGGGTAAGGTGGTTGGCCTTGGTAAGGTGGCCATCTCACATGATAGCTCCATACAAAATGTCATGCTCGTTGAATCTCTTGGCTACAACTTACTTTGAGTATCTAGACTTGCTGATTTCGGTTTCAATGTCCTATTTACTGAAGTAGACCGCCAAGTGTTTTGTAGAGACAATCATAAAATGGTCTTTACCGGTATACGTAGAGATCTTTACATTGTTGATTTCACTAAAAAGGCTCAACCTAAAACTTGCTTAATTGCCAAATCTTCTAAAGGCTGGTTGTGGCATAGAAGACTAGGTCATGTTGGTATGTGAAATCTTGATAAGCTTATTAAAGGTGATCATATCCTTGGAATAAAAGATGTCATATTTGACAAGGATAGACCTTGTAGTGCTTGTCAAGCAGGAAAACAAGTTGGAGGAAGTCACCGCGCAAAGAACAGCATGACCACAAGAAGACCACTCGAGCTACCTCACATGGATCTCTTTGGTCCAAATGCCTACAAGAGTCTCAGTGGTAACTCATTTGGTCTAGTCATAGTTGATGATTTTTCAAGATTTACGTGGGTGTTCTTTCTTGATGACAAATCGCAGGTCC